AGCAAAAGTGGATGGGAACCTGGGAGGCAGTGACCATGAGATGGTCGAGCTCAGGATCACGACCAGAGGAGGAAAGGAGAGGAGCAGAATACGGACCCTGGACTTCAGAAAAGCAGACTTTGACTCCCTCAGGGAACAGATGGGCAGGATCCCCTGGGAGAATAACATGAAGGGCAAAGGGGTCCAGGAGAGCTGGCTGTATTTTAAAGAATCCTTATTGCGGTTGCAGGAACAAACCATCCCGATGTGTAGAAAGAATAGTAAATATGGTAGGCGACCAGCTTGGCTAAACAGTGAAATCCTTGCTGACCTTAAACGCAAAAAAGAAGCTTACAAGAAGTGGAAGATTGGACAAATGACCAGGGAGGAATATAAAAAGATTGCTCAGGCATGCAGGAGTGAAATCAGGAAGGCCAAATCACACTTGGAGTTGCAACTGGCAAGAGACGTTAAGAGTAACAAGAAGGGTTTCTTCAGGTATGTTAGCAACAAGAAGAAAGTCAAGGAAAGTGTGGGCCCCTTACTGAATGAGGGAGGCAACCTAGTGACCGAGGATGTGGAAAAAGCTAATGTACTCAATGATTTTTTTGCCTCTGTCTTCACGAACAAGCTCAGCTCCCAGACTGCTGCACTGGGCAGTACAGCATGGGGAGAAGGTGACCAGCCCTCTGTGGAGAAAGAAGTGGTTCAGGACTATTTAGAAAAACTCGATGTGCACAAGTCCATGGGGCCGGATGCGCTGCATCCGAGGGTGCTAAAGGAGTTGGCGGATGAGATTGGCTAGGTAGCAGTTCTACAGAAAAGGACCTAGGGGTCATAGTGGACAAGAAGCTGGATATGAGTCAACAGTGTGCTCTTGTTGCCAAGAAGGCTAATGGCATTTTGGGCTGTATAAGTAGGGGCATTGCCAGCAGATCGAGGAACGTGATCGTTCCCCTTTATTCGACATTGGTGAGGCCTCATCATCCGAACAGCCAGTTCGGGTCAAACCGATGGTCCGTCTGGCTCAGTATCGTGCTGCTGACAGCGGCCAGGGCCAGACACTTCAGAGGGAATGAACAGAACGGGGCAATTTCAAGGCAGCTGTCCCCTGTCGTCCAGTCCCAACTTCTGGCAATTCGAGGTTTAGGGACATCTGGAGCATGGGTGGGGGTCTGTACTTTGAGCCCCGCACTTTAGAGCTGGCTGGGTGTTTAATGAGTTGGGACGACACAAACCACGTGCCAGGTCTGAGCAGCCCTCTAATGTTTGGATGCTGATCAGGACTAGCCGTCCTCCTTCAGCCTGCACCGCTGGCCTGAAAATCTCCTACGAACAGGCTCTTCCAGTATACAGCCGGAAGGACCAGCAGTGCCAACTTTTAACCTCAAATGTGTCTGCACCTCCACTCCCAGAGGGAACCAGGAAGGGCAGAGATACCTGAAATGGGGGGAAGTTACTGGCACGTTTTCAAACCTCCCAGAAGATTGTGGTTGCAGCTGGGCTTGAGCCGTGGGTGAAGGTTTGAGGCTGTATTTATTCCATCCACCCTGTTGTGTTTGTCCCCAGTGATCCCGTGCAATGTAAGGGCAACATGCGTAATCCCATGCAGGTGGGAGCTTGCTGCTCCACGGGAACGCGAGCCAGGGCCGCAGAGCTTGCTTCTTGCACATCGAGTTGAGGCTGTAATCTTGGGCGATGATGTCTTCGCTGCAGAGTTAATAACCCGTAGGGTCGGGTGCCGGGTGTGAGCACCCAGGTTAGCCTCACCCGGGGAGGAGCAGCCACACTCGGATTACTGTGTCCTCATTGGTGCTGCCCGCCCATCAGTGTCTGGGGACATGTCCCACGGCTCTGTGTGCTGAGACGCTCTAGGATTGCTTCAGCGTCAATGGCAGGAGAACTTGTCTGTCCTACGGGGGGATTTGTGGGACGGCACTGGAGGACTATCAGCAGGGGAGTGATTTTTGCCCACATCCTCACTGCAGAGTGGGTGGGGTCCAGCCTGCGTTAAAGTGGAGCCCAGGCTGTAACCTGCTCCCCCAGCCATGTAAACTATTCTAGGCTTCAGGCACCTCCAAACCCAGGTAAAAGGGTGCAGGTAGAGGGCTGGAGTCCATGGAGCCCAAGCCGGGACCCGAGGGAGGCGCAGGACGACCCCTTTACCACATGACCTACCACACCTGCTGACTTTCTAAATCTGCACAACGTTTAGCAATGAATGTAGAGGCGTCCCTCCCAGAATGGCAAACCCCTTCCCATGCTAACCGATTAACAATTAACTCACCTCTGACACGTCCCAAAGGCTAAGCTGCCTCCGTCCCTAATAGAGGGGACGTACATCCAGAGTTAACCTGTAGAGGGTTAGGGGCCATTTCCTTCTCTTCCCTGGTTGGCTAGCTTGCTCTGGGGGCTCAAGGGGTATTTACCCTGTCGGGACCCACTGCGCACCATGGCAGCGAGGGGCAAGCTGGCATGATCTCTCCGCGATGGATGGCTCCGGGTTGCTTTTACTACGCTCTGCGTCTACTCACATATCTGGACAGGTGCCAACCTATTGGCAGCTAAAATAAAACCAGCTCCCCCGCCCTCTCAGAGTGTGGGTCACCGGGCCCCAGCGCTACGGCTTCTTCCGCTTTAGGTGTCTTCCCTTAATTTCACACCACAATCCAATTTACAAAGCCCCCTACGGTGACCAGAGAGCAAGTGTGAAAAATGGTACAGGGGGTGGGGGATAATAGGAGCCTATATAAGAAAAAGACCCAAAAATAGGGACTGTCCCTATAAAATCAGGACATCTGGTCACCCTAAAGTCCCCCCCATAACTCGGGTATAAACTTCAAACGGCACAAACTCCCCCTCACCACCACCTTCTTGCAAGATTCACAACGACAGGGTAGAGGGGTTTGGGCTAAAACCCAGAAGAGAGCCTGGGTTAACTCTGCAGGGAAGAGACACTCCCCAAGAAGAGATCAGTATCTCTCTGGAAAGCGGGGAGAGGCCCCACATGCAACTCAAAGGGCAAATGCAAAGGGAGCTGCGGGTAACAAGCTAAGCCAGTTCTGTGCGTCTCTGCAGGAGGACGCAAGTAGAAGCCAAAATCGTGGCCATTTATCTGTGGTGCAGATAAAGGTATCTACACGTCAGGGGCCAACTGCAAGGTCCTGACAAGCCATCAGTGCTGCTGCAGCTGGATTTCAATCGTCTCCACCTCGGCCCCTGGCAGGAAGTGGCAGGTGGTTGCTGAGTGACAGAGGCGTTTGGAGGCAGATTGTGACGTGCTGCCTTATTGCATGGCAGGGAAACGGCTTCCCCAACTCGGCATTGTGGTTCCACCAAGCCTGAAAGACAGCGACGGCCAGCTGGTCCAGTACTCGTCACTGCAGGCCAGGGACTGGGGCGCTTCGGCGATCTGGCATGCAGTGAATCAGGGGCACTGTTATTATGGAATGATGAACTAACTTAACAGTTCTATGACTGTAGTACACCGTAAACCAGGGGTATCGTTTATTTAACTAATAATCATTGACGATGACTGTCGGATAGAGAGGCTCCACTCAGCATAATAATAAAATACAACTAATAATGTAACAATATTTTTCTTGTGTCTCGAACCTTTCAATTGAGGATCTCAAAGTGCTGAATGAACATTGATTAATTGTCGACCTCCCCGGGATAGAGCAATGTTATTCCCACTTTACAAGTGGGGAAACTGAGGTACTGGGTGGTTCAGCGACTTGCCTGAGGTCACACAGCAAGCCACAGCCGGGCCAGGAGTCCTGACTCCCAAGCCTCTGCTGCTGGCAATACTATTAACATCACTTATTCCTATTGTGACATAGACGCACCGGGCACTTAGCAGGTGACAAGCTCACCAGAGGCGGAGACGAGTGAGGACAGCATGGCCCGATGATTAGAACTGGGTTTATTAAAAGAGCTTATGAGGGAGTGGGGTTTGGGAAGGGCCTGAAGGAGAAGGGTGCGGTGTGGCAGGGGGGTCTGGGAGTCTCAGGTGATGGAGGCACCGGACACGTGGCAGGGGCTGAGCATAGAGGGTGCAGAGGGCAGCAGAAGGAGGGAGCTGAGGTCCAGGAAGCCGAGGAGGAGCGTGAATTTTCTGCGAGCGCTAGTCCAAAGGCTCCGTGAGCTCCTCAGTCTACCCCTACCTTGGTGGGCTGGAGCTGCTCAAAGATGTTCCCTCTGAGGGTGGCGGCGGCTCTGTTGGCGTTTCGCTCCTGCTTGTACATCTGTGTCGTCGGGGGCACGGACGGGGCCAGTGCCGCGTTCAGGTACGTCCCGTTGCCGAAGGCCAGGATGGCGTTTTCTTGGCGAGAGGGGGAAGAGCGATCAGAGCAAAGCTCTCGAGGAAAGTGTTAACGTTCCCTCCCGACCTCTCCCGAGACCCCCAAACCAGCGCCTCCCTCCCCAGGCCAGGCTGGGCATGGACCAGCCATCGCCTCCCACTGCCTCTCCTGCCTGAGCTTCAGATTCCTGCCCGGTAAAAACGGGGAGGGCTGTCCTGGGGGGTGGCGAGAGGCGGAATTCAGTCAGGTTTGTAAAGCCCGTTAGAAAGGCTCGGCCTCGTCTCCCTGATTCCGCGGGAGCGAGTAAGTTTGGCAGCCGTTTCCACTGCCCCGCACAGCCACGTCCCGTGTGCAGTCTGACCATCGAAGCCAGCTGTGGATGGGGGGCACCCAGCAGGCGGGGTACCCCTTGGCGTTTCCCCGGGTGGAGTCGCCTACAGAAGTGAGCAACATGCCGGAATTCCCCACCCGCTGACCCATCGATTTCAGCCAGGAATTAGGCTCCTAAACGCCTTTGAGGATGTGGGCCTAAGTGACTCCACGAGGGGCTGAGCGGAGGGAATCGGGCCCTGGGTGCTCACCCCAGAGCGATACCGGATGGGGCATAAAATCAACATGGAACCTTCCCTCTTGCCCGGGCAGAGCGACGGAGGCCGAGCAGCAAGGCAATCGCTCACAGCATTAGATATGCAGTGACATCAGGGCATAATGCGTTTACAGCAGCGGTTATCCCAGGGGATAATGGGAGCTGCTGGCCCTCATGGAGTCTCGAAGGCTCAGGCTTTGTATGGGAGCAGCTCACATGGGCCGCTCAGCCTGGCAGCCGGCTGCAGACTCTCTCCTGCAAGACGAGGCCCAGGATTCCCTCTTAAACACGCAGCACGCCACACCCTGCCGTCAGCCCTCTGCACACTGCCCGATGGCGCTCTGTGGCTTCGCAGCCCGGCGGCCGCCTCCTCGCGGGTCCTGAGGAGAAGCCATCACGCAGGTGATGCGTTCGTTATCTGAGCGCAGGACGGCTGTGGTTCACTGCAGAGTCAGGCCAATGGGAAAGCCCGGCTGAGAGAGGAGAAACACGCAGCTCTCTCCGGCCAGAGTAACGGTAGCGCAGGAGAATGCTGGCGAAGTTAGTTTCTCTTGGCACAAGTGTTCCCCCTTGTCGGGTTTTCTCAAGCGTGACGGCCCCAGGGCCTCGCCGGCAGCTGCTGGACTGAGCGCGTGTAGTCTCAGGACACTGATGGATTCTGACATCCTCAGCACTTGTCATCTTTTCCAGGGGTATAAAGATGTTTCTAGCCAGTCTACATAACTCAGACTGCCTCGTCTCAGCCTTCACCTTCTCCTAGCTCTTTCAAGGGCTAGGACATCCATTTTACACAGCAGTCCAGCCCTCTGAGTTCTCCTTGGGGTCTGCTGGGTTACATTTTAAATGTACTTGTAACTAATACGGGTCAGTGGCTAGGACACCAGACTGGGAGTCCGGAGAGCTGGGATCCATGCCCAGTGCTGACACTGCCCCGCTCGGTGAGCTGGGGGAGTCACTTCACCTCTCAGTGCCTGGTTCCCCTCCCGCCCTTTGATGGCTTTGTCTGTTTAGGGCAATGGCTGTCTCTCACTAGCACAGGCGAGGCCCTGATCTCAGCTGGGACCTCTCGGTGCTCCTGGAACACTCATGAGGGCTGAATTCTGCCTTGTGTAGCGTGGACGTGCCGGAGGTGAGAGGGCACTGGGACCCCCTCCGACCCATGGGGCAGCTGTAATTTGTCTGGGCAGCACAAGGGAGAAGGCTAGCTGTGTCATGTGCAGCATTGCTAGCCTGTAGGGGACATGTCTGGGGGAGGGCAGGCATAGGCAATGCTCTGACCACTTCACCTACCACTGGCAGGTGCAGAGCTGGTGGCAGGACCTCCTTTCACATGGCCTTTCCATCCCCCTTGCGAGAGGCACCCAGGAGCCCCCCAGCCCTGCAGTGGACTTGCCCCGTCTGCTACTTACGGAGACAGAGGTTGTCGGTGAAGAGGTGCAGAAAGCTCTCGCACTCCTCCTGGCGGTTGCCGCTGGCGTTGCAGGTGCACCAAGGCGCAATGCTGGCGGTCGAGTTGTCGACGTAGTTAGGTGTGATGGGACTACCTGCCAAGAAGGACGGAGCAGAGTCGCTGTTACTGGAGGAACTGTCTGAGAACCACATGGGCTCCCCAGAGCAAACCTTCCCTGCTCAGCCACGTTCCTGTGGGTTCCACGCTGCTGCCCTTAGAGCTGCCAGGACCTCTTTCCCTTTGCAGTTGACCTGCTAAGAAGTGACGCTGTGGGGAACCCTGCTTCCTTCCTGGCCATTTTTCCAGGTCAATTCTGCTTCGTTCACATACCCAGCACACCCCTTGGTTAGAGAGGCCAGGGTGATGCACTCAGCTCGTGACATTACACCCCCACTTCACTGCCTTTGCTACAACGCTGTACGTCTTCCCAGAGTCCTTAGTCTGCTTGTTGTGTAGCCCGGGGTATGCAGCAACCTAGATCCACACAGAGACACTTTGCCCATTGCCATGGACAGGTCATGGCTCCAGTAAGGGAGGATTAAGAGTGAATGGCTCCATAGGCTCTAAAACTTCAGGATATGTCCAAACCAGCTTCTCCTTCCCATCTCCCTAGCCCACTTCCCAGGCTCCAGCAGCAGTCAGCTGGCTTTTCCAGACTGACCCATGCTATGCTCAGAGCTCCAAAGCCCTCTGAAGCCAATGAAGTGTGGAGGAAGGTGGCTCCACCAGCGGTGGCTGTGACGTGATTCTGCCTGGTGAGCTGGGACTGCCAATCCATGGACGCTCAGGATCTGGAAACATGGAGGAGTGGGGTCTGCTGTTCCAAAAATATGCTGTAAATGCCACACTTGCCCTTGTTCTTTGGGAGCATTCAACACTAAATCTTCCAACACCTTGATATCACGTACTGTACGCTATATGGAGCATGGGCAGGTACCTCTCAGGTGGCGAGGAATAAGGAATGACACCTTTGCGCCCATTAGGACCAAACCTGCAATCTGCTTCCTTGGGTACCTTTGAATCATATTTGCTTTTTCTGCTGACCCACCCAAGTGACTTGTTACCCATTAGCCTTGCAGAGCCAGCACCGTGATGGGGGAGCGAGCTGGATTCTCATCCGGCTTGTGGCTCATCGTCATCCCCACCAGGATTGTCAGAGGAGCTCTGATTGCAGCATCTCTGTTGTCAGTGAGGAGGCAAGAGGCGGAAGGGACATGGAGCATGCTCATTGGATCTGAGGGGCTAGCAATGGTCCAGAACAGGAGGAGAGAGAGAAGAGGAGAATCCGCAACTGACGGGCACAGCCTCATACCTATGATTCCTGTGTACGCCAGCAGACAGGCAGCGTAGTTCTCCCTCCTGCAGCCAGTCGCAGACTGCGGGGATGGCTGGCAGTTAAACTGAAACTCCGCATATCGGGACCTGCATGGGACAGAGAGCGCAAAGGGAGATGTCAACACTACTTAACTTGCTGCATTTACTGCACTGGCATATAACTAGGCCCACTGATATGCTCGCTGACTGATGTCCTAAACTACCTACAATGAATAGCTAAGAACATTAGAACGGCCATAGTGGTCAGGAATGGTCCATCTAGCCCAGTGTTCTGTCTTCTGACAGTGACCAATGCCAAGTGCTTCAGAGGCAATGAACAGAAGAAGGCAATTATCGAGTGATCCAGCCCCGGTCACCGAGTCCCCGCTTCTGGCAGTCAGAGGCTTAGGGATACCCAGAGCATGGGGTTGCATCCCTGGCCATCTGGGCTAATAGCCATTGATGGACCTAACCTCCAGGAACTTTTCTAATTCTTTTTTGAACCCAGTTATAGTTTTGGCCTTCACAACATCCCCCGGCAACAAGTTCCACAGATGGACTGTACATTGTGTGAAGAAGTACTTCCTTTTGTTTGTTTTAAACCTACTGCCTATTAATTTCATTGCGTGACCCAAGGTTCTTGTGTTGTGTGAAGGGGTAAATAACACTTTCTTATTAACTTTCTCTACACCATTCATGATTGCATTGACCTCTATCATATCCCCCCCTGAATCATCTCTTTTCTAAGACGAACAGTCCCAGTTTTTTAAATCTCTCCTCATATAGCAGCTGTTCCATGCTCCTAATCATTTGTGTTGTCTTTCTCTATTCTTCTTCCAATTCTAATATATCTTCTTAGATCATCTGCAAACTTTCCTATCTCACTGTTTATCCCTTTTTCCAGATCATTTATTAATATATTGAACAGCACTGGTCCCAGGACAGATACTTACTCCCCTCCCCCAGCTGTTTACATTTCTCCACTTTGAAAACTGACCATTTATTCCTACCCTTTGTTTACTATCTTTTAATAAGTTACTGACGCATGAAAGGACCTTCCCTCTTAGCCCTCTTAATTTGCTTAAGAGCCTTTGGTGAGGAACTTTGTCAAAGACTTTCTGAAGGCCCAAGTACAGTATATCAACTGGATCACCCTGGTCCACATGACTGTTGACCTCCTCAAAGAAATCTAATAGATTGGTGAGGCATGATTTCCCTTTACAAGAGCCATGTTGACTCTTCCCCCAACATATTGTGTTCATCTACGTATGTCATAATTCTGTACTTTACTATCATGTCAACCAATTTTCCAGGTACTGAAGTTAGACTTACTGGCCTGTAATTGTCAGGATCACCTCTGGAGCCTTTTAAGAAAAATCGGCGGTACATTAGCTATCCTCCAGTCATCTGGTACAGAGGCTGATTTAAGCGATAGATTACATACCATAGCTAGTAGTTCTGCAATTTCATATCTGCGTTCCTTCAGAACTCTTGGGTGAATAGCATCTGGTCCTGGTTGTTGGGGGCAAAGGCATATTTAGGCCTGACAGAAGCCTGCTGTGGATTTTAAGAGTCTGTTCCGATAATGTTTAACAGCATAAGCATAACTGCCTACGTGTAAGAAACTGCAGAATAATCATGTTTGTGAGAACAAGAGAAGATAAAGTAACTAAAAAGCTAGATGGATGGGATGGAATTGAAGGAAATTTGGTGGCCTGAGAAGGGACAGAGTCAGGGAAAAGGAGATAAAAGAGATATAGGAACAGTATAAGGAGTTGGAGCTTTGGGAACTTCAGCATTTGTTCATATGGATATCACAGTATTGTGGGAGGAAAATCAGAAAATGAGATTTCGGTTACAGAATCTGTTAAACTTAAATAAACAACAGAATGAGGCTATAGGGGAGGATTTAAAAGATATTCAGGACGCTAGGATAACAGGACAGGTGTTTAGGGAAGTGGAAGCAGCAATCAATGAAATGGGAAAAATCCTGAACCAGCCTCACGTATCAAAGGTGATTTACCTGCTCATGGGATGGCAGCTTCCTAATACAGGAGCTACACCGGTAGGACCAAAGGAAATTCAAGGTGGGGAAGTGCCTAGGTGCATAACAGAGAAGATGCTAGAACAATGGACAAAACCAGAAGGAGTAGCTTGATGCGGGGTTCGGTGCTGCTCAATGGTTTGTTATGCTGAGAAAAGATGCAAGCTTGATGAAACATGGATCCTTCCTATGGTGCTAGCAGTACCAGTGGCCACAGGACTAAGTGAGGCATTAAGAGTGAATAGTGCCCAGTCCCTAGTTCATTGGAACCTACCATGGCAGGTTACATCTTAAAAGAACATGTCACTCATCCTCAGATAGTGGTAAGGATTGGGAGGGAGAAAGGGGGTGGTCTGGAAAGCCCCAGATACTTCATGTTGTTCCAAGAGACGTGGTACCTGGTTATGTCATTGTGATGTATTGCAGAGTACGTTGCTGACATGTGGGTCCACATACTGGCAAAAAAACCAAAATTGCACAGTTGGGATGAGGCAATGGGGACAAGGTCAAGCCAAGGTGGCAAAAGCCGGAGAAGGCAAATATTGTGTACCCTGGTGGCTCGGGCACTTCCAATATGGGAGACAAACATATGATTGTGACTGGCCAATGTTCTGCTTAGATCCAAGAAACGTACCCGAACAGAGGACAAGGCAATTATTCCAGTTCCCCAGCATGAAATCCACAATGTATCAACCGGTGCCCCTCTGACTGGTACTGCGCTAAACAGCTAAGCAATGTCATACCACAATTGCATTAAATGTGCAGGCCTTAATGGAAAGACATCCAGAATGTCTGTTGACCTTAAGACAGGAAAGTCGAAATATTCAAAGTGACTTAGGGTCTGGTGGGAAATGGGCCAGGTCAGAGTTAGTAGACGATATTGGGGAAAATCCATGGGTACACATGATACCAATGGGCTTTGTGTAAATCAAACTAGTAGTGGTGTTAATCGCATCCATTTAGAAGGATAGGAGCTTGGTTAGGCAGCTGGGAAGGAGAAAAGATGTAGACGAAATGCAGGCTTTGATGAAACCTTAGAAAGGATTCTATGGCTTCCTAGTGGGAAGTATTGGGAGCAAAGGCATATTTAAGCCTGCTGTGGAGTTTAAGAGTCTGTGCTGATAATGTTTAATGGCATAAGCATAAGCAGAACTGCCTATGTGTAAGAAATTGCAGCATAATCATGTTTGTGAGAACAAGAAAAGAGAAAGTAACTAAAAAGCTAGAAATGACCGGTTTGAACTAACACTAAACATATACTGGTGTGGGAGGAGAGTTAACATGGAAATGAGAGACTAATACATAACAAAAGATAACCGAAAGTTATAAATACGTTTGTATACGTTTGTAACAAAGGGAAATTGAAACTAAATTATCCAGTGCTGGAGGCAACTGGGATGAGATCGTTCCAGTGAGTTTCCCATTGGTGAGAAATTGATCACTACTTGCTGAGTGTTTTGCCTTAATAACGATTTGTTAGACCCTTCTGCTGAGTAAGTGAATCGCAGTCCAACACTGGTGGCTTATTACCGTTTAATTTTCCAATTTGTTCCACAATCTCTTCTATTGACTCCTCAACCTGGGACAGTTCCTCAGATTTGTTACCTAAAAAGAATGGTTCTGGTGTGGGAATCTCCCTCGCATCCTCTACAGTGAAGACTGATGCATCCGATGAAGTGGGCTGTAGTCCACGAAAGCTTATGCTCTAATAAATTTGTTAGTCTCTAAGGTGCCACAAGTACTCCTGTTCTTTTTACCGATTAAAAGAATTCATTTAGCTTCTCCGCAACAGCTTTCTCTTCCTTGAGTGCACCTTTAGCACCTCAATTGTCCAGTGGCCCCCACTGTTTGGCAGGCTTCCTGCTTCAGATATACTTAATTTTTATTTTTGCTGTTGGTTTTTGTGTCTTTTTTCTAGCTGCTCTTCAAATTCTTTTTTGGCCTGCCTAATTATACGTTTACACTTGACTTGCCAGAGTTTATGGTCCTTTCTATTTATCTCAGTAGGATTTCACTTCCAATTCTTAAAGGATGTCTTTTTGTATCGAACTGGGTTTTTTGGGGGGGCCCTTGGACTGTTTTGTTTGATTTGGGCACTGCATTTAGATTGAGTCTCTATTATGATGCTTTTAAAAAGTTTCCAAACAGCTTGCAGGCATTTTACTCATGGGACTGTTCTTTATCATTTCCATTTAATTAGCTTCCTCATTTTTATTTACTTCCCCCTTTTGAGGTTAAATGCTACTGTGGTGGGTTTCTTTGGCATTTTCTGCCGTACAAGGATGTTACATTTAACTGCACGATGGTTGCTATTACCGAGCGGTTCAGCTTCTTGGACCAGATCCCATGCGCCACCTAGGTCTAAATCAAGAATTGCCTCTCGCCTTCTGGGTTCCAGGACTAGTTGCTCCAAGAAGCAGTCAGGGGGGGGGGGGGGAATAGCTCAGTGGTTTGGGTATTAGCCTGCTAAACCCAGGGTTGTGAGTTTAATCCTTGAGGGGGCCATTTAGGGATCTGGGGCAAAAATCTGTCTGGAGATGGGTCTGTTTTGAGCAGGGGGTTGGACTAGATGACCTCCTGAGGTCCCTTCCAACCCTAATATTCTAATGGTGCCTAGACATTTTCTCTCTCCATGCTGTCCTGAGGTGACATGTTCCCAGTCAATATGGGGATAGTTGAAATCCCCCATTATTATTGGGTTTTCTATTTTTGTAGCATCTCTAATCACCCTGAGCGTTTTGCAATCACCATCAGCACACTGGTCAGGTGGTCAGAAGTTTATTCCTGCTGCTATACTCGTATTATTCAAGCATGGAATTTCTATCCACAGAGATTCGATGGCACTCATTTAAGACTTTTACTATATTTGACTCTACGCTTCCTTTCACATATAGTTGCTGCTCCCCCGCCAGGCTCAAGAAGGCAGGCTGGCAGGCAGGTTTCTCCTGCCTCACAAAGCTACATCAGCTTGAGCTGCTGAAAATGGCCAAATAGACCCATTTTTATGACAATCCAGACTCTTGTGTGAGGTGACCCTCCCCTTGCCAGCTTCCCCAGGTGAGCCGAGACCTTTGCCAGGTGACTTTACTGCCAAGGTGACCTCTCCCCTGACAAACTAGCTCTCCTGGATAGGAGCGCTCTTATTTTCTGGAGTGATTACATTTCAGTGGTTGATCGTTTTAAGTCAATGACACCTCTGTTGCTCTTTTGCCACCAGCTGGTGGAATTTCAGCCAGCTTGGAGGCAAACGGACAATAGAAAAGACAAAGGGCTGCACCTTCACAATGGAGTTTGCAGCCTCATAAAGTTACAGAGAGTTCATAATCTCCCACAGACGTCATAGATTGTCCAGACAGATTCCCAGATTGTCACAGAAGGCCTATTAGATCATCCAGTCTAACTTTCCCCCTCCTATCTGGCTGGTGGTGGATTGTCCTCTGAAGTCTAGTGCAGGGCTCTCAAACTTCTTCATTGTGGAAACTGTCTCTCATTAGAGAGATTGACTCATGGAACAATTTCCCCTCCCCGCCCTCCCCCGACCACCTATCCTTCCAGTTTCAGTCACATACCATCCGCAATAGCAAAACTATCAAAGAGACGTATATGGCTTCCCATCACCATAGTATCTGAGTCCCTGACAATCTTTAATGTATTTATTCTCACGCCATCCCTGTGAGGCATGGAAGTGCTATTAGCCCCATTATACAGGTGGGGAATTGAGGCCCAGGGACACTAAAGCCCAGATCCTCAAAGGTATTTAGGTGCCTAACTCCCATCGGCTTGCCCAAGGTCACACAAGAAGTCTGTGGCAGAGCTGTGAAATGAATGCAGCTCTCTTGCCTCCTTGGCTGAATACCACAAAGCTGTCCTGTCTTGCTAATACTTCATGGGCCACAGTCTGAGACTGTTTTCTAATATTTTATCAAGTGCAATCTAAACGTTGCAGTGTCACAGCCCAGAACTGGCCTCTACAAGAGGCAAACTATGACTTAAATCGTACTCTCTCATTTACATGGGCTGCTCTTTGGGACAAAGAAGTCTGTCTTTGTTATCTGTACATACAGCACCTAGCCCACTGGGGCTGCCAGACAAGACTGCAGCACAAATAACAATAAAATACTAGACTGCGTGGTGGAAGGAGATCCAGGCACTCCAACGGCTAAGGGGGTTTGAAGGCAGGAAAGAAAACTATATATAAACATCGTCTACAGCTTGTGAGGTTCTCTGAGCTCACCCCCTCCCCTCCCAAGGCCACTGTAGACAATGGTCTACTGAACACAGAGGTGTAAAGGGCATCCTCGTAAATATGCACATCTTTAAAGGGGAATTGCAGGGACCCAACAATGCCTCCTATTTCTTGCAATTGATCTCATAGATGGAGCATCTCCCACAGAGTTCAATGAAATAGTTGGCTGACTTGCATAGGAGGGTGGTGAAGCACTGGAATGGGTTCCCTAGGGAGGTGGTGGAATCTCCTTCCTTAGAGCTTTTTAAGGCCCAGCTTGACAAAGCCCTGGCTGGGATGATTTAGTTGGGGATTGGTCCTGCTTTGAGCAGGGGGTTGGACTAGATGACGACCTGAGGTCCCTTCCAAACCTGATATTCAATGATTCTCTGTTCAAGCCTGTGCAGAACCCCGGGTAATTACATGGGCAGCTAATCCGCGCTGAAACCCATGCTGCTGCAGCTTCACTAGCTAGCTAGATTCAAGCTAGCTCAGGGATGTCTACTCAAGGTTCGATCGCACCCCAGGACTGCAGTGTAGACACATACAAAGCAGCACCTCCACCAAAGAGCTGGGGAAGGCATCTTGGAGCAGGGATAAAGCTCCTTTAAAGAAGGCAGCTGTGGGAAGCTGGCACACGCCGTGTATCGCAGCCTCTCCAGCTAAACTTTTCTGAAGTATTGTAGCTTTTAATAGAGGTTTCTGCAGAGAAATGACAAAGGAACCAAAACCATGCCCCCACAAATTATTTTTGGCCCAGGAAAACTCAGTAGTTTCTCTCTCCTTCTCTCTCTCTCTCTCACACACACAAATGCACCCTGCCCAGCCTCGGCCAGTTATTTCCCATTCTTCATATCAGCACCAGCAAGCAGGGCTGGCTTTAGCAGGTGCAGGGCCCCATGCCGGGACACGAATTGTCTCTCTGCCTCCACCCCAACTCCACCCTGGCCCCGCCCTGACTCCACCCCCTCGCTGCCCCATTAGATCCCTCCCCAAATCCCCACCCAGGCCCCGCCTCTTCCCCAAGCACACAGCATTCCTCCTCCTCACCCCTCCCTCCCAGGCTTGCACTGATCAGCTGTATGGCGGCGCAAGCGCTGGAGGGAGGGGGGAGAAGCAGGACACGGCTTTTTTTTTTTTCCCGCTCCGCCGGCAGCCCCGGACGTTGCGGGGCCCTCTTAGGCGCGGGGCCCCATTCCGGGGCATCGGCTTAAAGCCGGCCCTGCCAGCAAGGACAACATGTGAGTTCCGGCTCTGACTTCTCTTAGCAGGTCCATAAACAGACGCCTTGAGACACAGTCCGATCCTGCCAAGGACGTCTCAGTCAAGAGCCATTTTCTGTGACCACGTGCCATCTCCCTTGCTGAGGCTGCTAGGGTTAAAGGCGGGGCTGGAGATATATGCAAGCCGCTGAACGGCCTTGCAGTCTGCCACATTTCCTGAGGGCTCCCACCCCATTTGCGAGTGATGGTTACTGTGTGCACCCCTCCCCCATTATCCCTCCTGCATCTGGTTCCCAGTGAGGCTCTTACTTCCTGTTGCCCTACACAGAGAGGCAGTGATGCCTAGTGGGTAGACATGCGCGTAGCAGTCAGCAGGGCTGGGCACTGCTCCTTGAGTCACTGCATAACCTTGGGCAAAGGCTTGATTTCTTTGTTCCTCAGTTTACCCCTTAGTGGTAACACAGCTCTAATGCCTGCTGAGAGGCTTAGCAGGGAGCGCTTGTAAATTGATTTGGGATCCTTGGGACAGCAGGTGCAATTCATACAGCCTGACATTTGTTTTATCTCCCAGATTTCCAGCTACACTACCTGAGGCAAAAAGGGGGACAATCCAAGGGATTTGCCTCAAAAATGCACCATGAGCAGCTCACCCTACATTTGACCCTGGGCTCCTCCTAGCCAACCCTTTGCTTTAGCCCCTGGAGCAGAGGGTCTCACTTTAGGGCCTGCTTCAAGGCCCACAATGGAGTCACTGGAAGGACTCCCCTCAGGCTTCAGTGGGTTGGACCAGGCCTCCATGGGGTGGGGCTGACTGGGCCCCACTGTGCTGCGTGAGTGTTACCTGCAGACGTAGTTCTCCCGGCAGGAATCCAGGGGGGTCAGGCAGTTGGGCTTCTCCTTGGACTCGTAGGAGCAGGCGGGGACAATGGTCTGTCGGCGGCGCTCGGCGCAGGCCGTGTCGTCACAGGGGCAGAAGAGAAGCTCGTGCGTGTACTCGGGGGGCACGCGGTCAAAGAACTTGCGCAGGGCCTTGTGGCACTTGGAGCGGTTGCAGGCGTCGGCCCGGGCCAGGCGCCGGATGCAGAAGGAGACGTACTCCGTCCTCAGCCTCTGGCACATCTCGTCCACGTTGCAGGCCTTGGCGGCGTCCAGACAGCGGTTCACCTGCGTCACCTCGTTCTCGGAACCTGCATGACCCAGAGACCCCAACCAAGTTTAGCAACAGCCATGGCAACACCAGCACCCGAGGGGCCTCAAGCTCGCAGAGGACAGCAGGGCTCCCCCCCCCCCTCGGCTAGCCCAGAGCCCGGGAGCAAGGAGAGCTGGGATTCACCCTGGGGTTAATGATTTAGTCCTGACGAGGCCGATAGAAAACTAGCTCACGGAGCACACGCTGTTCCAGGAAGGAGGGGGAGTTTCTGGTCACGTGCCAGGTACGGGCCAGGTTAAGACTCTGGATTGAAGCAAATATCACCTCCCCAGCTGTGCTGACAGCCCTCGTCCCCACTCAGACTGTCCCCCTCACTCCCATGTGGAAGCAGCATGTCACCTCCGGAGGGGGAAGGAGCGGCTCCGGCTAGGGAGGCAGGGCTAGTGGCAAAGAGGAGACGGGCGAGAAAGCACCAATCAGCAGCAGGTGGGGGATCAGGGCCGGCTCTAGGATTTTTGCCGCCCCAAGCAAAAACATTTTTGGCTGCTCCCCCCTTTTTTTCGTGCCCCCCTGGCCCCGGCCCTGCCCCAACTCCACCTCTTCCAAACCCCTTCCCCAAATCCCCAGCCCCGCCTCTTCCCCCGGGTGTGCCGCATTCCCCCCCCCCCATTGCTTCCTGCGGCCCCCCCCCAACGACCTCCCGCCCTAGCTCACCTCCACTCCGCCTGCTCCCCCGGGCGCGCCGCCGCTCCGCTTCTCCCCCTCTCTCAGGAGAGGGAGGGGAAAGAAGTGGAGTAGCGGCGCATTCAGGGGAGCAGGCGGAGCGGAGGTGAGCTAGGGTGGGGGGCGCAGGAAGTAACGGGGGCAGAGGAATGCTCCCCGCTCCAGCTCACCTCCGCTCCACCACTGCTGCCTCCCCCGAGCGCCCCGCCGCTCGGCTTCTCCTCCCTCCCTCCTTCCCAGCCTTGCTACGCAAAACAGCTGTTTCCCGGCGGGAAGCCTGGGAGGGAGGGGGGAGAAGCGAGCGGCGGCGGCGCGCTCAGGGGAGCGGGTGGAGGCGGAGTGGAGGCGAGCTGGGGCAGCGGGGGCACTTTTTCCCCATGCCCCGGAGTCGGCGCCTATGATGGCCGGCGCCAGAATGCCGCCCCTAGAAATGTGCCGCCCCAAGCACCTGCATGTTTTGCTGGTGCCTGAAGCCAGCCCTGTGGGGGATGGACTGCTGGGTATCCCAGACTTGGCAGAGCCAGCCCCCATGCTCGCCTCCCCAGCTGGCTATCCCTGACATGTGAGTTCCAGCTCTCCCCAGATAGTCCCTGCTGATTATCCCTGACCTGGCAGTGCCAGATTCTTGACCCCTCCGGCTATCCTGGACCTGGCAGAGCCAGCTACCCCCCCCCCACGATGACAGTACCTTTCCTGGCATTGCCAGCTCTACCTACTGGTGCAACAAGTCATGGCTATGCACACACGCCAGGCTGCTGCAAAATCATGCGCGTAGCACCACAGACCACTCGGGAAACACTTTGCTCCACCAGAACCCCACAAGTCTAAAGCTTTGCCCTGTTCCAGGATCTCAAAGCATGAAGTAAGCCTCACAACTCCCCTGCGAGACGGAGAAGCACAACAGCCCCCCCACCCCCAGATTGCAGAGGGGGGCACCCAGGCACAGGGAGAGGGAACAAGTCACATAGCGAATCAGTGGCTGGCAGAGGTGGGAGTGGAACCCAGGCATCCTGGCCCACGCTGCACCCCAAGCCACGCCACTCTCCCCAAAAGGACAAATGAAGGCAGTCTGCAAATACTGTAAACTGGTCAAAAAGTGACCTCCTTAAGATTATTTATCGCAACATTTTACACGCTGTGGCGCCTTTCAAGGGAGCACGTCCAACTGCTTTACAAATGCTTTCATGAACTCTGCCCCTGCCAGCAGTGTGGTGAGAGAGACTAGGGCACGGTGGGGGCCTGAGCCAGCGAGCACTGAAGATACCCGTGAATGTCAGTGGGTGGTGGATGATGCCAGTCATGGGTATCTGAGGAACAGCACGCAGCAGGATGCAGAGGAGTCCTTTACAAAGAGTGGTGTTTCCTGCCCCTTCCTCGGAAGCATTTGGCCACTGTGGAGATGGGATACTGGATTAGATGGACCTTAGGGCTGATTCAAGCTGGCAATTCCTCATCCAGAACCTACTGCCACTAGAGACAAGTGCAAACACTCCATCTGGGTAAGCCAGTAGTTCTGAAGTGTGGGCTGAGCCCTGGGGTGGGGTGGGTCTCCCAGGACAGGCCAGGGCAGTGAGAGGCAGGTCTGTTACAGTGCCTTGTGAGGCACAATGGGGGCGTGATCGGTGTCATTTTCCCAAAGGGCAGCGCTAGCTGGATGAAATCTTTTGCCATGGACTCCAGTGAGGCCAGGATTCTCCCCCAGGACTGCCCACTATTTCTGTAACGGGCTTAACGAAAGCCCCAGTTCTCCGTGACTCTGCGCTAACGCCATTTCAGACTATCGTGCCCTCCCTGGGAGTAACGCATGGGGCTGGAGTTTGCGGAGACTAGCAAGGCCTGTGTTTGTGGCACAGTAGCACTGAAAGGACCCATTCAGAATTACAGCCTCACTGTACTGGGTACAAGGTATTTAGACACCCTCATATCTGAGCACCTTCCCACTGTTAAATGTATGACTCCTCACCACGCCCTGTGAGGCAGGGCAGGATTATTATTCCCATTGTACAGATGGAAAACTGAGGCACAGAAAGACTTAGTAACTTGCCCAGGGTCACCCAGGGAGCCTGTGGCAGAGCAGAGATCTGTGCCCACATCTCCTGAGTCCCAAGCTAGCATCCTAACTGCTCAACCATCCTTCCTCTCCCTCCGGCTGTGACACACACACACAACATGAAAGACAGTCCCTGCCCATGGCCCTCACAATCTAAACAGGGTCAAAACCCAACAGGGGATGCAGAACACAAGAGGGGTGGGAGAGATGGGAGCCTGACAGAGACCGGTCCGCAAGGTCACAGAGGTTCACAGCAAAGTGCGCAGAATAGAGGCATCAGAGTCTTTCATAAGAGAAGAAGACAAGAGAGCCGAGTGGATTGGTAATACGCCACCTGCCCGGCCATTAGCCGGAGGATAGTGCCACAGTTGGGATGACTTTGAGAAAGGTTCTGATGGAGGACAGGATAGTGGCTGTATGAGTTGGGTCCCACGCTTGCGGGGCAGCATGGAAGATGTTGGTTTGTGGGAGAACAGGGATGAGCGAGCTAAAGGGGCTGGCAGAACAAGAAACGGGAGGTTGAGATGTATGGCAGGGTGGGAAGAAAAAAGCCAGCAGAGTATAGCCTTGAAAGTTGGAGAGTTTGCGGGAATTTGAGTGAAGATCAGTTACAGAAAGAATCTGTTCTTTTCCTGCCCCCCTTGTCCAAGAACAAGAGGGCTGCTCGGTGAGGTCTGGGGCAGGTCAATGCAGAGAGAGATTTCTCCGGGCAGCACGGAGCCAGACTGGGATTTGCAGCTTCCAAAGGTCAGAGAGTCAAAGAGTGGAGCTGGATTTAAAGAGAGGCTGGAGAATTTCATGAGCAGCGATAACATCTGTAGATAAATAACCTCAGCTAAATTCATCTAACCCCATGCTACAGTGTCAAATCACCACCCCAGGGGCCAGGAAGGAATTCTTTCTGCCTGTCTGGATTATTTATCTGCCAGCTTTAGCTTCAGGTACTGGCCAGGATACTGGATTGGATGGGCCCATTAATTCCCACTTTTAGAGGTACAGAGGTGAAATGCCCCAGGTCACACAGAGCTGCGAGCAGACCCCAGGAATCCTGACACCCAGCCAGTCTCCTGCTCTAACCACTATCCTACACCATCTCTCCACACCTGGTTGTCGTTACACTGTACAATCTGATAGTTACATCAGGAATAGTTACATCTATTCAACTGGACAAGTACAGCACCGGCAGCAAACTTCCCCCACGGAAAGTGCCGTGACCCTGGCCTGGTGGGATGAGCCACTTGGCAGTTCTGTCTCCACAACTCATTTAGAGCTTCGGCTGTCTACTGGGATTCCATGGCAACCATATGCTCTATTGGACATCCCATAATCCCTGCCGCGCGGTTGCTAGGAAAGGCTTCTGGGGCACTGCGGACTCCAGCATTTGAGAGTGGAGGAGGTTCAGCCTTCATGACGTGCTCCCACCCTGGAAGCTGGGGAAGGGGCCATCCTGTATCACATATGAGTGGAGACGGGAAAGACCACTCCGCCGCCTCCTCAGACGACATCCAAGGTCAAGGCTGGGGATGGACATGGGGCCTGGGGGAAAGGAGAGAGTTTGCTAGAGGTGGCAGAGGATGGGAGCCAAGGCCATGCAAACCACAGTGACCCAGGTCCGGGAAAGTTGCTGGCTCTGGGCGGGGTCACCACCTGAGACCACCCTGATTTCAGGTGCTGTAGCCATACATCCTAGCCGATCAGAGCCAAACCTGGTGGTGATTAGAGTCATCTCCATTGGGAACTGCACTGTTCTGAGGCCTTACTGACGTTTGCAGAGCAGTAGCAGCACAAGGCTCTCTGATGGTGTGTGTGCGGGCGAGCCTAGTTTCCAACATGGAGACTGTGCTTCAAGGCTGCTTCTAAGGACTTTCACTGGCGTGACCAAACTACCGTCACGGGAAACACCTGGAGGGCTGTGAATGCTACACGATTGTAATTGTCCAGGAGCTACAGCGAGGAGAAAGGTGAATGACTGAAGAAGCCAACGTTCAAGAGCAAGTCACTGGAGGATGTTCTCAGGCAATGGCCTACAGAGGATTTGGTGGACTGATGGGGCCTTCTTTGCAAAGAGCAGGTAACTGACTGGGGCACCTAGGCACTACGATAATTCAAATTACAAATAATAATAATATTCCCCAACCTGAGATCAATCATTGGAAGAAAAGTCAGAGCAAATCTGATGCCTTTCAAACCTTGACGTTGTCTCTACCAGGAAATGCAGAGTCAATGGGCCTATTTCCACTCACTTCTAGAGGGTGTAACTCCATTGGCCTCAGCAAAACCACCCTTGATGTATACCAGTGCAAGCAAAGAGCAGAATCTCAAGCATAGGAATGTCTCAGTGACTAGCAATCTGGATAGAAGAGTGCACAAAGCAATGCTGTTACTCCAGTGAGGAAGGCCAACAGATGCACAAAGCCATGAAGGAGAATGCTTCAAAATACCAATACTGTGGTTACTTGGGAGTAACACTGTCTTAGAAAGGAAAGGAGAGACCTTAGAAACCAGATAAAAAAAATCACATTATATGCAAATATTAGGGATCGGTGAGGAAGGAAAATATCCATATCTTTCTGATTTTGACGTTAAACTACTTGATTGAAGCATGCAAGATGATCCCTCTTACACAGGAGAATCCCTGCTAGGAGTGGTCAGGTGATTCATCTGAGACTTCACAAATCTCCTTATGCGATAAAAGAGATAAAGTGAGATTCCTTCTGGCTGCAAAGAAAAAGAATTTGAAGACAAACTTTTTCATCTCTGTCAACTTGAGACTCGAAGCAGGAGGGACTTTATGCCAATTAGAGAAGATTTTATGGAGGAAGAAGCCAAGTCTCTTGCTAAATTTAGAATGCAATATCAAGACAAAAAATATCTTTGGTGAGTCATTGAAACCAGCCACTCCACATCTGAAAAATATCGAAGAGGTCAGTTTCAATCTTGCTGTGAATTTCAAGATGACCTCAGAGAACAATTGACTGTGATATTTTGCCTTCTCTTGAAGCTATGGAATATCCCTGATGTTAGCTGAATTGTTTTGGCCTACAATGTTTAACTTGAATAAAAAGTTTAACTTTGAGTTATAATGATGTTGAAGGGTATTTTTTTGTTTTGGTGGATGCACCTTTTGCTGTAGATATACTATGGTGTAGACCTGTTTAATAATACACAGACATGAGTCTTGTTATGCCATTTTACACTACCCACAGTTTGGGGTATAGCAAACAGCTAGTAGAAATGACTTTATTATTCTTGAAGTCTATGGCCTGGTCTACACTGGGGGAGGGGGGGGGGAATCGATCTAAGTTACTCAACTTCAGCTCCGTGAATTACGTAGCTGAAGTCAACGTACTTAGATCTACTTACCGCGGTGTTTTCACTCCGGTAAGTCAACGGCTGACGCTCTCCTGTCGACTCCACCTGCATCTCTCGCCTGATGGAGTACCGGAGTTGACGGGAGAGCGCTCGGCGGTTGATTTATCGCATCTAGACTAGACTCGCTAAATCAACCCCCGCTGGATCGATTGCTGCCCGTCGATCCAGCGGGTAATGTAGACAAGCCCTAAATCTCATTTTGAATACGCTAGCTTTCTCCTCCACCCACAGAACAATGTAGGACACACTTTTAAAATCACTACTATTACTAGAGTAGATAGATGTAATTCCATTTGTATGTTTTTTAGTGGCCATAATACATTATTTATGTAAAATCTGGTTAAAAATATCTGGTGATATGACTCTGCTCTGAGGTATTGTAATGATATATGCTTCAGCCTGTTCCTTTGCATTTTAGCAGTAGGTTGGCAGGAGTGCTGAGGTCCCAGAGTAGACCAGTCCCTGCTGTGCTAGGTGCTGCACAGGCACATAGTGAAAGGCAGATCTATGCTATGACTAATGGTATCGCCATGGAGTAATACAAGTAAAAATGTAAAAAAACGAGACAGGTTTTTCAATACCTCTCTGAATCCTTCATTACTGCTCCACAGCGCTACTGTTCTGGGTCTGTTTTTCTTTGCTACCTAACTAGTTTCATCCCATTTTCAAAAAATGGCAAGGCATTGGCCATGCATAAAAATCCCAGTGTACAGAGAGTCTACATGTACGGGAGAGAGCACCATAGGACTCATCATGGAACTGGCAAACTACTGAATAAGGATCCTGTCCTGCAACTGCTTCCACGTGTGCTTCACTTCTCACACATGAGTAACCGAAGTGGAGTCAATGAGGGTATTTGCTTGTGCAAATTAAGCACATGCATTAATGTTTGCGGCATCAGTGGCCTGGTCCACACTAACCCCCCACTTCGAACTAAGATACACAACTTCCGCTACGTGAATAATGTAGCTGAAGTCGAAGTACCTTAGTTCGAACTTACAGCAGGTCCAGACGCGGCAGGCAGGCTCCCCCGTCGACTCCGCATACTCCTCTCGCGGAGCAGGAGTACCGGCGTCGACGGCGAGCACTTCCGGGATCGATCCGGGATTGATTTATCGTGTCTAGACAAGACGCGATAAATCGATCCCAGAAGATCGATTGCTTACCGCCGGACCCAGAGGTAAGTATAGACCTACCCAGTGTCTCAGTTAGTACCATCGACAATATTAGCTGTTCCTGCTACCGTAAATGCCTCACAGCCCTGAATCAGGGGCAACAGAAGCTCCCTAAAAGTGTGGGGGGGGGCCACCAGCGGCCAAACTGTGGTCCCGTCCCTGTGCCTCCTCTTCCCCCGAGGTCCTGCTCCTTCCCCCGAGGCCCTGCTCCAGTGCCCCTGTGGCATTACGCCCCATATTCTTCATAATAATATTATTATGATATGAGTATGGCATAATTATGATGTATTTTGTATAAGATAGGTCATGTGTCATATCATTGAAAAGTTTATGATTTACTGAATGTGATTATCCTATTTGTAGGCACGTCTCATTTTTGTATCTAAAGTTAGGAATATTGTCTATGCATCTATTACAAATGTATTTACGTTTACACCTGGGGAACGCCCACTAGACAGAATGCAATCAGTCTAGATGGCTGGCTGGGAAGGGCCATTAGGGAACCCAATAGGTCTTTGAAGATGCTAATCTCCCACTAGGAGGCCTTCCTGAGGATGTTACCAACAGCCTCCGAGTTGTGGCTGCTATGGCTCTATAGAGACATGTGACCAAGTCACCTGGTATTGGACTCCATCATAATAGTAGTGGTTTTCCACTGACCGGGAGTGGGAACAAATGGGGAGACAAAGGGTTCCCACCATATGCCAAAGCTATTTAAGGCAGGGGAGTGACATCATTGTGGTTCATTCTTCACTGAATTCCCACCCAAGAAAGAAGACTGCTGGAAACACCTAAGAAACAAAAGACTGAACTGGGGGAGAAGGGCTGAACCCAGGCTAAAGAGTTTTCTAGCCTGTGAAAGGAATAACTGGAATTTTAAGCTGCAAGCAAGTGTAGCTTGCCCTCAAGAATCTCTGCAATCTGCATAAAACAGCATTTAGGGTGAGAATTTGCTACTTATAATCAATTTCATTAGTATATTAAGCTTAGATTGCCTTTTGTTTATTTGCTAGGTAATCTGCTTTGAACTGCTTGCTATCCCTTATAATCACCTAAAATCCATCTTTTGTAGTTAATAAACTTGTTTTGTTTTGTCTAAAACCAGTGTGTGGAATTCATAACTGCGGGGGCACAAAGCTGTTGCATGTCTTCCTCCACATTGAGGGAGGGGGCGAATTTCAGGAGCTTACGCTGTACCGATCTCTGTGCAACGCAAGATGGTACCATTTTGGGGTTTGCCATCGCCCCATCAGGCAGGCATGGGGCCAGATTTACCAAAGAGGTCTTCTTCCATTGAGGCCCCTGAATAGGGCCAATGAGTGCTGATCTCTTTTAAAAATCCGGCCAGCCGTCTCTGCCCTGAAGAGGATGGGCGCCGAGAGAGCAGGGTTCTTCTGGCCAGAGCTCTTCTCCCAGAGTCATGGTGTTTTCTACCTCAGCTGGGGGAGCCTCAGAGGCTGCCTATCCAGCCCTTGTCTATCTCTGCCCTGGTCCCTTGCTCTTTATGGCCCCGGTCCAATCATATAAAGTGCCTCCCCTGAAAACGTGCTCTTGTCTCAACAGCTTAGCACGGAAATTCTCGGCACAGACAATGCGAGAAGGGGCCGTGCAGCGCGACAGACTGCGGCGGGGCAGGGAGAGGCCTAGTCAGTCCGTCCCTCCCAGATCTGGATTGTGGGCTCCCTCCCAACGAGCAACCTGTTTTGGGCCAACAAGTAGGAGCTCCAGCCCACCTACCTGCGGTGATGGATGCCAGCCGGACGTAGTCAAAGCCCCTGACGAATGGCTCGTACGGAGAACTCTCCAACACGTTCACACCTGAGGTGAAAGGAAGATAGGTTGAACCCCAGCAAAGTGAGGTAGCTCTGGCTTCTGAGATTTGTGTTTTAGGAACCTGTCTCAGTGCAAAAGTCTGCAGAACAGCCTTTGCATTATGGGTCTCCATGATGCCTATTCTTATAGCGAGTCCATTTCCCCAGAGTAATGCTCAGTATCTTAGGGGCTGGTGGAAGAGGCCAGATCAACAACAAGTCCTATCCTTATGCCCGGCACAGGCCACAGGAGATTTCACCAAGGCTACCCCTTGAAAATGAACCTCAACCTTGGCCTGGGTGGGTTAGTTTCTATGGGCGAGAGAGCTGTTTGGTTTCCTTGGACTACTCAGTTCTTGGCCTCTCTGCTGCCAATGAGGGGCCCAGTTATACAAGGAACTGGACAGACTCCATGAATACACATGTGATGGTAGCCATTTTCATTCACTACGCACCCAGCCTTCTATCCCCCCCGGGGTCTTTCTCGAACTTGCTGCTTTCCAGACAGCCATCCCTAGGTTTTGCTGCTTATTGCCTTACCCTCGATTGGGTGTGCCTTGATATTTATTAACACTGCATCTGCTCCCAATGCACGCTGCTCTTTCCAGCTGAGCATAGAGTGAATGACACGCAGCCCCAGCAAAAGCCTCCCGGTCTAGATTAAGGATATCGGAAATTTTATTCCATCAGAGTTCTCCTTTTATCAACTCCAAGGACCATAATGTGCCATCCTACCGACTGATGCCACAGAGTATTACTGAGGGAAATAGCTTAGTAAGTTTTAAAAACAAACAAACACTGGGGGGAATTAGACATTTATATGGATAAGATCAGCAGCCTGAGCTGCACTAGCTGGGATAAAAGGGCTATCAAACCTCATGCTTCAGGGCATATGTTGATCACCAGCTGGGGTCAGGAAGAAATCGCCGCCTTGATGCACAGCTCTATGCAATTACCACCGGGGTATTACAAGGCAAGTTTACAGCTTTCTTTGAATTACCTGGGACTGCCACTGACTGCATAGGGGACCATTCGTGTGCTGCAGTGGAGCAGTTTTTATGTTCTGATGACACCACATGGCATCTGGTAGTGTGTCTCCAAATACTGAAGTGCCTGAACACAGACTTGCTCAATAGATGCTGAGTCAATGCTAGGCTATGTAAATTCCCTGGGCATATGGTTCCACAACTGATTTTTATAAAGGCTTCTAGGAAGCTTTTCTGGCCTCCTGGGTACGTATGGATGAAAGCAAAGCAAAAGCCTCTGCAAGTCAGTTTCAGATCGGCTTCCTTGTTTAGCCAATTAGACATGTGGGATTTTTAAATATGTAACTAGTATTAGAAAAATGTGTCCCAAAGGAAATGAAAGCAGAGCAAACAAAGATCCAGTGGTGTTTAATGGACGTGCGGGTCAATCTGCTTTTCAGAGAAAATAAGGGGCTCACGACACCGAGTTAAGCTGGGTCACGAGCAGTGGGAAGCAAAACCTAGTCAAACCCTGATTTACAGCATTCGCTGCCTTTCCAGCCCTGCTGTGCCAATGCATCTCAATCCTGACCCGCAACTCCCCTGCTATTCCAGTGTAGAGCACCCACACAACTCTGCCGATGTGTCTCAGCCCTGACTTACAGCACCCCCTGCTATTACAGACCTGGGTAGGGTGACCATACAGCATGGGTGGCGGGTGAACCGCTGGCTCAAGCCCCCAGCTCCGCTCCTTCCGCCCAAGGCCCCGCACCTTCTATCCCCCCGTCCCACTGGAGATCACTGCAGCTGCTGGCCTTCGCCCCAGGCTAGCGTCCCCAACCCCAGAGTGCCCCCAGCCACCCCAACCCCAGAGCACTGAGCACCGCCCCAGCTCTTCCAGCCCTGGAGTGCCGGGAGGCCGGGCAGCATGGCCCCAGCCTCCCCAATCCCTCCAGCCGCAGGAGGCCGGGCAGTGAGGCCCCAGCCCCTCCCCCAGCCCTGGGAGATGGCAGCGCAGCCCCAGCCGGGGCCATGGCACAGGGGAGGAGCCACCCACAGAGCGGGCAGCAGGAGAGGGAATGGGGCGGCATGTGGGTGGGGCCACCCCTGGCTGCTGGGGGAGGCTGAACTCCCCCAGCCTATGATACCCGCCGCCCATGCCATATAGCTCGTTTTGGCCAGGACAGTCCCTTTTTTAAGCCTTGTCCCGGCCATCACAACTTTGATCAGTTGGCAAGAGCAAATGGGACCAATGCCCACTTTTCTCAAAAACGTAAAGTGCAGAGGAACATGTGGGGGTGGGGGTTAGCGGTGATGCCAGCCTTGCTCGGGGGGAGGGGTGGCAGACTTGGGCGGGGGTAGGCAGGGTTGGGGCGAACAACAATGCCAGCCCTGCGTGTGTGTGTGTGGGGGGCTGGGCTCGGGAGAGCAGCTCGGGCCAGCCCCGTTTGCAGGAGATGGGGGGACTTGGGCTAACCCCACGCAATGTCCCATTTTCCCGTTGGGAAATATGGTCACCCTAGATCTGGGTCACTACCTCTGTCTATACCCCTCTGTGCAGCACTCCACTCTGAGGTCTGGCTTTCAGGCTCCGGGGACGCTGATAATGCTCTCTTGCTTGAAAAAGGCCAAAATGTGGATCAAACTGGCTTTCTTACTCAGTTGTTGAACCATTTCCATCGGAGAGTAGATCGACAAAGCACCGTATATGAAAGGAATGGGGTCTAGTGGCCATGACCTGCTCTGCTTTCAACTGTTGGATGGGAAACCAGCTGCATTTCTCACACAACTAGAACACAGTAAGTGTTAAGTTACCTGCCCCCCCGCCCTCCAAGGCTTTAGTTTTTCCATGGGGGAACCTCAGAGCGGAGGCTTTCCTCTTTACCTGGGATGCTCTAGGTCAGGGACTGGCAACCTTTGGCAAGCTGCATCCGCAGGTTCGGCCAGTGGGAGCCGCGATCGGCCGAACCTGCAGACGCGGCAGGTAAACAAACCGGCCCAGGTGCTTACCCTGGCAGGCCGCGTGCCAAAGGTTGCCAATCCTTGCTCTAGGTCAAAGGTCACCTGCAGAACCTAAAACGATGGCCTGCAGAGTCCCTGGGGGAAGTGGATCTGACTAATCTCCCCCAAGCCCTCGGCAACACCTCCTTTCTCTCAATCACTGGGGACGCCACACCACCAATGTTCTACTTCTTACTCAGGTCTGTAACCTGGGCATCTTCTTCCACTTGGGCCTCTCTCTAGATCCTCACATCCAGGCTACATCTAAATCGTGCCAATTCTTTCTGTCTCGCATCTTTAGAATATGGCCTTTCGACTCCATCCAAACAGCCAAAACTCTTGTCCAAGCTGTCATCGTCTTGGGTCTCCATAGGACCCTACCAAATTCACGGCCATGAAAAACGCGTCACGGACCGTGAAATCTGGTCTTTTGTGTGCTTTTACCCTATACTATACAGATTTCACAGGGGAGACCAGCGTTTCTCAAATTGGGGGTCCTGACCCAAAAAAGGAGTTACAGGGGGGTCACAAGGTTATTTTAGATAGGGTGGCAGCATGGCCACCCTTACTTCTGCACTGCCTTCAGTGCTGGGCGGCCGGAGAGCGGCGGCTGTTAGCCGGGCACCTGGCTCTGAAGGCAGTGCCCCGCCAGCAGTAGCGCAGAAGTAAGGGTAGCAGAACTGCAACCCCCCTACAAAAACCTTGCGACCCCCCCAACAACTCCATTTTGTCTCAGGATCCCTACAGTTACAACACCGTGAAATTTCAGATTTAAATAGCTGAAATCATGAAATTTATGATTTTTAAAATCCCAGGACCGTGAAATTGTCCAAAATGGACGGTGAATTTGGTAGGGCCCTAGGTCTCGATTGCTGCAACTTCCTTCTCTCTGGTCGTGACACGTGCAACTTTGCCCTACTCGCAGCCAGTCAGAAGGCTGCTGCAAAGATCATTTTCCTAGCTCGTCACTTTGACCTCATCACCCCTCTCTTTGCATCCCTCCGCCGGATCCTCTCCCCCCTTTGCTTATCACATCCAACAGAAGCTGCTTGTCTTCACTTCCAAGGCCCCTCCCAGTCAATCTCCGTCATTCTTATAATCACTTATTCACTTTTGAGAGTGGACGAGCCTGGCCCATCCACTTTTCGCCACAGGCCGGCCCCCTCCCTGTCTTCTTCCCCCCAAGGCCCTGCCTCCCGGCCAGGCTGGAAGCTGGAGCCCCACCAGGGTGAGAGTGGCCTGGGAAGCCCGGGCAGCTGTGGACCCTCCATCTGAGCTGGGCAGGGACATGGGTCGGGGGCTGCTCTCGGGCCCCCACCCACCCCCTGACAGGTCGAGGGTCCGTGGCTCCCTGGCCCTGCTCCAGCTTCCGGCTTGGCCAGGAGGTGGGGCCTCAGGGGGAATAGGAGGGACAGGGCAGGGCCATGGATGGGGCAGGGCCTTGTGGCCCCCCACTTTTAGGAAGAATCTGTCACCCCTGGAAAGAGCTCCCCATAAACATCCAAAAATCTGCCTCCATTGTCCTCCTTCAAATCCCGTCTCAAAACTCTCCTTTGCCGTGAAGCCTACAAAAAAACTGGACGATGGTCGGGCTGCTGGTGTGCAGACAGCACTGCCTTTCATGCTGACCGAATTGCCTCATTGTTCCCTTGTACTCCCCCATCGGTCTATATCCATCTCTTGTCTCTTATCTTATGCTGAGGTTGGAAGCTCCTTGGGGCAGGGACTTTCTTTTTGTTCTGGGTTTGTACAGCCCCTAGCACAATGGGGCCCTGCAATGGGGTACACAATAGCCAGGGGCGGCTCTAGCTTTTTTGCCGCCCCAAGCACGGCAGGCAGGCTGCCTTCAGTGGCGCGCCTGCGGGAGGTCCCCGGTCCCGCGGATTTGGCGTACCCGCCGCTGAATTGTTGCCGAATCCGCGGGACTGGCGGACCTCCCGCAGGCATGCCGCCGAAGGCAGCCTGACTGCCGCCCTCGCAGGGACCGGCAGGGCGCCCCCCGCCGCTGCAATAACTCATGGAAACACAGACGCCCTGGTAC